CTTGCCCACACAGACTTCGGGACATGAATCAGCTGCTGGCAAGCACTCTTCCCTCTGGCGCCTCGTGACGGCTGGTTGCAGCTGCAGCAGCATCGCAATAGGTGCGAATGCGAGCAACGACTGAACGGCTGAGCTCCACACCCCCGTGCATCCTGAGCTCACTGAAGCATGCAGGCTCAACGCAGTACTTTCCGGGAATTTCTGAGAAGTCGCCGTCCAGTTGCATGGCATCGCATGCTCCCCACAGCTGCACGGCCTTGGAGCCACGCCCATGGCAAGCAAAGCATGTGACACACGTGCCAAGCCGTGAGGTGCCGGCTGCGACTTGGCAACGCAACTCGTCACCATCAGTGTGCTTGGGTCGCGCCTGCCTCATGAGACTGAGACGGGGTCGTTCCGCGGCTTCGCGGAACTTGCAGAACTTTGACGAATTCTGCACAAGCTATGGACAAGCTGGGTGGGCCGGCCATCAGCTGTGAAGGACAGGTCGTAGCACCAGCGGTGCGTTGCCAGGTCGCAGGTCTCAGGACAGCCTTCGCTCGCCTCAGCGTCAGCGCAGATCTCGCACTGAGCCCGAGCCCAGGAAGGCTTCCAACTGTTGCCAAAGTGCCGCCGCGCAGAAGTCCTCACGCTGGCCGCGGCAGCGAAGAGCATTCTCTCCGCAAGGGCAATCTGCTCCATCAGGAATGCCTCAAGAGGAGATGTTGGAGGCAAAGGAAAAACAGCGGCGCAGCTAGGACGTGACAGTGCACTGCGTGCAACGGCTTGAGACAATGGGGCTGCCGTAGCTTTTCCAGCTGGGTGTCACGTAGTGGAAGAGTTCTGCCATCGTCCTTGCTCATCGAAGTTGTCCTTACTTGCGCTTCAGGCTTCGCTGAGGCGTGGCAGTGAAAAAGCCACAAGCAGACGCAGGCACTGCCTCGGTGAATCTTCACCCAGGCGCAACAAGACATTCTTGTCCCCGACATACTTCAGGACAGTCGAACTCCCGAGGGACGCAGAAGGTCCCGGAAGCACCAGCACACCTCAGTTTTGTCACGTGGCCATGCCGAGCTGCTTCGCTTTGACGCCTATATTTCGCATGCGCCTCACCATCTCAAATCGTCTCGACGTCTCGTCTCACAAGTCCCAGAGGCTGCTTGGCAGTGCTGTCGCACCAAGGGTCAGGGCACGGTCCGGGGTAGCACTCCTCCACGAAGCGCCTCGGGCTGTGAAGAGCGGATTTTCGACAGGATGCCTGGAGCATTTGGCCAGGCGGCTGCACGATGTCCTGGCCAAGTTTCTGGAGTAGGACGCTTTGGGAGACTGTGGAGACTGAAGAATCTGTTGAAATGTCCCACGGTTTTGGCTTCGTTTCAGCACAACCAGCACCCTCTCCACGAGACTCAGCTGCCCCGTTGCTGCAAACGCTGCGACGGTCAAGCAACATTCTTCCTAGAAATGAAGGCAAGGACAACCAGAAAACTGCAGAACTCCGGCAGCACAAACAGCACCCTCAATGAACTCACATGTTCGCGAGGCTGCTGGGTAGGTCCCGTACAAACAGCACTCCAGCCTCAAAGTACGTCTTGCTGCAGAGCTGGTCATCTCCACAAGTCTTCGGGCAGACCGGGAACCGCTCCTGAGTGAGCGCCGTGTGTTTTTTTCTGCTTGAGCAAGCACCGCTGTCACCCTGCGTGCCTTCCACAGGCAGATGTACAGACCCGAATCCTGAAGGCACGGTTTGTTTTCGGGCCTCTCCAATGGACATGCTACAGCTGATTCTTCAGAGTTTGAAGGCCCTGCCGTACTGGCACCGGCACAAGCCCTGCACGTCCTGGTCTTGGCATCGGTGCTCGTTGTCTTCGCAGATGCACCCAACACTGTCGGCACAGCTCTTGTTCCCTCGGTCAAAGCGTCAAGGCTTCAAGATCTGCTGTGCAGACCACGTGATCGTTGAGATCTGAATCCCTTCCTCCAGGCCAAAGCACCCGAAGCGTGATGGCAAATAGGATACTCGCCGCAGTCCAGGGGACCTGTGTTCCGGGATCCCACGTGACATGGTGAGGCATGCCATCTCTCGTTTCTTCTTTTTGGGGTATGTTTATTCTGAAGACCATAAGGCTCCTTACCTGCCACGGCCTCCAACAGCTTCGCTGCAGCCAGGGGACAGTCTTGGGCCTTAGGGTAGCACGCAGATAGGCCCTCACACCTCTTCTCCCAGGCGTCGTCGCAGGGGCAGCCTGCCACACTGCCAAACCGAACGCAAGCCCTGCGTTGCATGAAGTATGCAAACGGTCCTGTGGCCGTTGCGTGGCAGCTCTTCTCCGGCAACGTGCTACCATCGACTCGGCCCATGTCCTTGGGGCCGTACAGTAGGTGCTTGCACCGGTACCCGATGCGAAGAGACATGCCGCCACGTCGCGTCGTAGGGGGCTGACCAGCACGGGAGCCTCGAAGCCAAAAGGTGAGGATGGAAGAGGGAAGGGGGTGAAGGAGGCCACGCACAAGTTCGCTTCTTGCCATATGGACAACCACAGCCGGCCGAATCCGATCGAGGCGCTCCTCAGCGCTGCAGTACCTCAAAGCGATGACCCCATCGCACTTCCGGCACGACTCAGCTCGTCCGACCCACGACAGTAGATGCATCCGGCGTGCACGGGACAAGGCCCGAGATTCTTGGGCTGGCAGAACAACGTTGAGTTGTTGGGTTGGCCTGAGCCGTGCAACTGCAACGTTCAAGAACGAAGAACGCCTCTCATGTCATTGCAGGACGAAGTGTGTGTTTTAAGGCTCTGCGATCCTGCTGTCTGACGACGGCAGGATGGCTCTAAAGCAGACTGCCGGGACTTACCGCAATGCGGCAATGCTGACGGGAAACAACGTGTGACGTGCTGGTGCAGGCGGGTGTGAGTACAAATCCACAAGATGCGCAATCGATGAAGACGTTACAAGCCTCATGATGTTGCGAGTACGCTGCGGTGCTGAATCCGCAGAGGCGACCTTTGGGACGAGGACCCGTTCGGGGATAACTCATTCAACTCCCGGGGAGTGCTTGCATCATCGCCACCATCATCTTCATCATCATCATCACCATCATCAGCAACAACGCACCTTCGCTAAACGGCCTGAGATCCCGGCAGATCCACTCGTGGAGGTCGTTGCAGGGGCACGGTCTTGGTTCGTGGTTCAAAGGCTGTGCAGAACAAGGGGCCTTAGGGGACCACTTACGAATCGCCGATGGTAAGTACTGCTCTAAACTCAGATTATATCACAAGGTCACTTGGCCAAAACCATCTAAACATCAACCGTCTGACCAAAATCATAAAATATCTCATGGCATTGGAAGCTTTACAATCTGGGGTCTGGGCAAAGACGAGTTCAGGCAACGCTGCTCGGGCGGTGGCAGGTCCGTCGGCTGGCCTCGCCGTTCTTCCGAGCAGCCCCTCACTCTCTGCTGGTTCTGCAGATTCCGGGGCCGCAGCCATGAAGATCGTAGGCTGTGATGGAACAGGCCTGGCGTCAACTTTGGACCGCAGGCTGCTGAACAACGGCGGGCGCTTGGGGCTCCCGCACGTTGGCCGGCAGGGCAACGCAGTCCTGGCAAAGCCCTACCGAGGTATCAGAGTCTCGGAATCGCAGTGCTGCGATACGACCACACCTCCAGGGTCGGCTGAGCTGACCTGCACAAAATGGTGAAGTAGTGCGGCTCCTTTGGGCTCCTGACTGTGACGCTCTGGCCTCGATGGTGGTTGTGCCAACACCGCTAGTACTGCTGCTGCTCGTAGTCGCGGTGCCAGTGCCGCTGCTCGTAGTTGTGCTGCGGGTAGTGGCGGTACCAGTGCTGCTGCGGGTGCTGGCAGTAGCAGTGCTGCTGCTGCTCGTGGCAGTGGCAGTGCTGCTGGTGCTCATGGCAGTGGCAGTGGCAGTGCTGCTGGTGAAAGTGGCAGTGGCAGTGCTCGTGGTTGATGCTGTGGCTGTACCAGTGCTGCTGCTGCTGCTGCTGCTGCTGCTGCTGGTCGTGGTGCTGGTCGTGCTGGTGGTGCTGGTGGTGCTGGTGGTACTGGTGGTGCTGCTGGTGGTGGTGCTGGTGCTGCTTGTTGTGCCCGTGGAAGATGATGATGTTGCGGACGTTGTTGACGTTGATGAAGCAGTGGCCTCAGTCAGAAGTGCTCCCCCATTTTACGGCCCCGCTCTCACGTGCTAAAGACAAGTTCTGGCCTTCAAACATCACGCTAAGCACCAGTGCCGCCGTCCGCAAGAATCTCACTCTTTCGAGGGCAGCTGGGGGAGGGATATGACTAGGAGCCGTTCACCGACCACGCTGCATGGCAGTTCTTTTCTGTGCAGAGCTGAGCCTGACAACGAAGCCACAGGTCCAAGGTCCCGGCGGTGGTGCTCGAGGTAACGGTTACCTCGGTGGCAGCTCAGGTCTTATTTCTTCTTAGAAGACACGGTAACTCTCTTGTTGGGAGGGGGAGCAGTTTCTTTTCACTTCTTCAGAGGCATAGGAAATCCTGGCAAATGAGATCGCTGCTGCCGTGCGGGTGCTAGGAGGTACAGGACCGCTCAAACTGTCGTTCAAGAGACAGAAAACCTTTCTTCGTTCGACACAACAAACGGAGGAGATTCCGTAATCTTTGTCTTCCCCTCTCCCACCCTGCGAAGAATTAGTTTTCCCCCGCAACAGTCAAAACGGGGTGTACGCTACCGGCCTAGATTGCTGCGAACGTCTTCGACCGCTTCTGGTCTCCAGTCCCCACTTGGACTCCTGTTGAAAATAAAAAGGAGTCGGTCGTCTCGTGGCCTACATGTATGGAGGGGCTAGATTCAGCCTCACAGATGTCAGGGTTGCGGCTTGTGGAGTATGGAAATTGCAGCGGAGGCTGCGGCCTCGCTCGGAAGTGCCCCTTTTCGGCGTGGTGCTACTTGTTGCCGGAACTGCTCCTGATACTGCTGCTGCCACTGCTAACACACCTGCGGCCCAGGCGGGCACGCGCTTTGCGACAATATTTACGGCTCTATAGCGCGGTCTGCCATGTGCAGCCCAGGTGACGGTGGATCTTGTGGAACTCGTTCTGGTCACGCTGCTCGAGGTCTGCCAGCGCTTGGTAAACACACCCGCGCACCAAAACATCAACAAAAAAAAGTCTCCCCGGCACCTGGGTCGTGGTGGCACTGTTCGAGACGCACACAGGGGTCCTAACTCACCGTCGCAGCTGGCAGATGCCAGGCCTTGGTGGTGGTGGTCGAGGTGGTCGTGGTGGTCGTGGTGGTCGTGGTGGTCGTGGTGGTGGTCGGACTTCCCTGCACAGGTCACTGTCTGGCACACAGACGCAATCAAGGGGCAATAGTGTCAAGCATGTCAAGGTGACGCGCTTCAACCTACCAGCATGCGTGCCGAGCCAACTTCGGAGCCCAGAAGCCCGCAAAAAGCTCCAGTACTGCAGGAAAGTTTGCACTGCGACGCTGTGACGACTTCACAGGCCTCGAAGCTCACGAGCAAAGCGTCGGATGAACCGGCATTGGTGTAGCCATCCAGCGAGGAATCTGTGTAGCCCGCGGCGATGAGGTTGTTGTTCGGGTCGACCTGCAGCGGGGAGCCAGTGCAGCCTCTTCTTGAGCCAGTGTTCACGAAGCGCCGTCACCGGCCCTTGCCTGCAGCTTTACGTTTCCATCGCGCAAAAACTTCAAACCTTCCACCTGGAACCTGCAAGACAGCCTGGCACTTGGGGCGGTTGTCAGTTCGCTAAGGCCTCTGGCCTCTGGGTATGCACGAACGAAGTGGGAGCCTATATAGTAGCCTCGCAGGGCCTTAGCCCATGAACCCCAGTCTGCCCCAGAGATCATTTCTGGATCGCGTTTATTGGCACAGATCCAACGGTCAGAACCGTCAGAACCCTCCCGGAATTGCTGGGCGAAAAGATCCTAAAAGCATGGCCAATCTTTACAGTATTTGGCCTTTCCTTTGCGGGTTTTGGGGGCAAAGGCCCCTGGAAGCCTTCCCCTTGCTGCTACTCATTCTTGCTGGGAACTGCTGCTGCAAATGCACCTGCAGCCAGGGCCAATGCACACTATGAGCTTGCGATAAGATTATGCCTCGAGCTCCGAACTCTCTGCAAACGGCGCTGCACACAGCCCGCTGCCCGCGCTCCCTCGCTGCCCCCACTCCCTGCCTGGAGGCCATAGAAGCCGTCATCGCCGGAGCCTGGGCGGAGGGCTGGGCTCCGGGCGCTGCTCTGCGGTCTGCGGTCTCTCTCTTGGCACGTTGCAAGAAACTCAGACAAAACTTGCAGGAACCACCCTGGAGCCTCCGCGCTGCACGGTCCATTGCCAGGTGCCGGTGCTGTCGAAGCTCATGAGAAAGGCATCGTTTGAACCGGCATTGGTGTTTCCATCCAGCGAGGAATCTGTGTAGCCCGCGGCGATCAGGTTGCCGTTCCAGTCGACCTGCAGCGTGGAGCCAGTGCAGCCTCTTCTCGACCCAGTGTTCACGAAGCCCCGTCACCGGCCCTTGCCTGCAGCTTTAAGTTTCCAGCGCGCAAAAACTTGAAACCTTCCACCTGGAACCTGCAAGAAAGCCTGGCGCTTGGGGCGGTTGTCAGTTCGCTAAGGCCTCTGGCCTCTGGGTATGCACGAACGAAGTGGGAGCCTATATAGTAGCCTCGCAGGGCCTTAGCCCATGAACCCCAGTCTGCCCCAGAGATCATTTCTGGATCGCGTTTATTGGCACAGATCCAACGGTCAGAACCGTCAGAACCCTCCCGAAATTGCTGGGCGAAAAGATCCTAAAAGCATGGCCAATCTTTACAGTATTTGGCCTTTCCTTTGCGGGTTTTGGGGGCGATCCGGAGATTTGTAAAGGCCCCTGGAAGCCTTCCCCTTGCTGCTACTCATTCTTGCTGGGAACTGCTGCTGCAAATGCACCTGCAGCCAGGGCTACTGCACGCCATGCGCTAGCGATAATTTTTCGCCTCGAGCTCCGAACTCTCTGCAAACGGCGCTGCACAGCCGGCTGCCCCTGCTCACCCCCACTCCCGGCCTGCAGGGACTGGAAGTTGTCATTGCCGGAGCCTGGGCGGAGGGCTGGGCTTCGGGCGCTGCTCTGCGGTCTGCCGTCCCTCTCTACTTGCAGGAACGACCCTTGAGCCTCCGCGCTGCACGGTCCATTGCCAGGCGCCGGTGCTGTTGAAGCTCATGACCAAAGCATCGTATGAACCGGCATTGGTGTTGCCATCCAGCGAGGAATCTGTGTAGCCCGCGGCGATGAGGTTGCCGTTCGGGTGGACCTGCAGCAGGGAGCCAGTGCAGCCTCTTCTTGAGCTAGTGTTCGCGAAACCCCATCAGCGGCCCGAAGCCGGAATCATGCAAAAACTTGAAACCTTCCACCTGGAACCTGCAAGAAAGCCTGGCGCTTGGGGCGGTTGTCAGTTCGCTAAGGCCTCTGGCCTCTGGGTATGCACGAACGAAGTGGGGGGCCTATATAGTAGCCTAGCAGGGCCTTAGCCCATGAACCCCAGTCTGCCCCAGAGATCATTTCTGGATCGCGTTTATTGGCACAGATCCAACGGTCAGAACCCTCCCAAATTTGCCGGGCCTATAGATCCTAAAAGCATCCCCTCTCATCCTGGAGCTTTCGGAAAGCGTGGGGACTGGCCAATTTTGACAGCCTTTCCTTTGCGTCCGGAGATTTGCCTCTGGAAGCCTTCCCCTTGCTGCTACTGATTCTTGCTGGGAACTGCTGCTGCAAATGCACCTGGTGCCAGGGCTACCGCACGCCATGCGCTAGCGATAAAAATACGCCTCGAGCTCCGAACTCTCTGCAAACGGCGCTGCACAGCCGGCTGCCCATGCGCCCTCGCTCCCCCCGCTCCCCCCACTCCCTGCCTGCAGGTGATTTATGTGGTCCTCGCCGGAGCCTGGGCGGCGAGGGCTGGGCTCCGGGCGCTGCTCTGCGGTCTGCTGTCCCTCTCTTGGCACGTTGCAAGAAATTCAGACTAAACTTGCAGGAACGACCCTGGAGCCTCCGCGCTGCACGGTCCATTGCCATGTGCCGGTGCTGTCGAAGCTCATGAGCAAAGCATCGGATGAACCGGCATTGGTGTAGCCATCCAACGAGGACTCTGTCCAGCCCGCGGCGATGAGGTTGCCGTTCGGGTGGACCTGCAGCGGGGAGCCAGTGCAGCCTCTTCTTGACCCAGTGTTCACGAAACCCCATCACCTGCTCTTGCCTGCTTTGGGGAGGTGGGAGCCTATACCTCGCATGGCCTTGGCCCATGAATTTCAGAGATCGTTTCCGGATCGCGCTTGATGGCACAGATCCAACGGTCAGAACCCTCCCGGAATTGCTGGGCGTAGAGATCCTCAAAGCATCCGCCTCTCATCCTCGAGCCCGCGGAAGGCTGGGGGTTCCTTAGAAGCCTTCGGCGGTCTTGGCTGTAGGCGTCCTTCCGCAGCCATTTTGGCCCAAGTTTTGGGCCCGAGTCGTCTCAACTAGTGAACTGGCAATGCAGCCCCATGCTTGGATTTCTTGTGCCTGGGCAAACCGAGCGGCCAAGTTGGTCAACTGCAGATGTGGGAGGCCCTGGAGTTGGGGGGCACATACACCACACCAGCGACCAGCAGGGCAAGAGGGTTAAGTCGTTTGCTCCGAGGTCTCAGCCTTCTACTGTGTCTACTCGTAATGACGGGTGGAATGGTAGTAAGTAGTACTCTCGCGAGGAATGCATGGAAGTACGATCGCCAGCATTGGGGATGGGCAGATGTCGGACGACAAGTGGTTTGGGATGAGGCAAAGCCTGTCGACGACGACGATCGGTGGCGTCAGCATGTCGAGGCGGTGCTCAAAACCAGCTGGTCCACCCTGCAAGAGTCGGTACAAAGGGCATTGGGACCTGCTGTTGAGCCCAAGCCTGAACCACCAGCGGAGGACCCCAATGACCCGGATGTCGTCACCAGAGAGTTCAAGCATGGCTACAGCAAGCGGGAAAACTCCAAGATCAAGCGCAGCAGCTTGCAAATCAGTTGGTGCAGGCCGAGTGCGAGGCCCGTGCCGACCAGATACACGCAAGGCTGGAAGGTAAGGTGTCGCCGGAGGACATGCGCAAGATACTGCAAGTTCTGGGTTCATCGGAGGATGAGGCTCAACAAAAACGACGGCGAAAGGAAGATGATGAGCCCATGGGAGCCCAACAGCCGCAGGGGTAACCGCACCACAGTGAGAGCGACTTCATCGCGAAGAGGCAATGGTTTTGAGTTTCAGCACCCACATGAAGCGGCGGGTGAGTTTAAAGTTCTTTTTGGCGAATGTCACTAGCTGGAGCACCAAGGCCATGCAGTACCTCTGTGAACCAGATGAAGCTTGCCAGTCTGTGCATATAGCTTGCATATCGGAGCACCACATCACCACGAATGGATTTTGGGCGACTCAGGAACGCCAAATCGGCTTGGCGAGGTGGTTGATGTGGGGCAATTTTGCCAAAGCGAATGACAAAGGTTCGCAAAGAGGAACTCTTGTGTTGCACCGTGCGGAGCTAGGTTGCACGCCGGCCGGGGCCCGCGTACGGAAGTGCGTGAGGGTTTTCAAGTGTTTGGGTGCGCTTACGGGAGGTCACTGTCCTCGTTGTGTCCTTGTATATCACGGTTGATGAAAGTCTCTTGGCTGGGACCAATAGGGATACTATCACTGAGTTGATGGCCCTGCTTAGATGGACTGATGCTGCTTGGAAAGTTGGAGCGGATTGGAACCACAGCCCTGAGAAGTTGCGCGACTTGCAGTTGGACCGTGCGTGTGAAGGAGACTTTGTGGTCCCTGAGGGCCCAACCATCTCCACTGGCTCCAGGATTGACTACTTCTTGGTGAGCAAATCTTTTGTGAACAAGAGCAGAGCTGCAGTTCACCATACTGTGCCGTGGAAGCCGCACTATGCGGTTATGCTCAGTCTTGACCTGAGGCCTGAGGTGTTGAGCTTGCCCAGTTTTGAAAGATTTGAGAGACTCCCTTGCTGTCATGGGCCCTGCTTGCCTTGGAGTGCTTTCCAGAAGGCAACTGCAGAGCTCAAAATGCCCTCAGGCCACATTTCTGTCATTGCGACGATGTGCGTGACAGCATGTTTGCGCAGTTCATTGCCCAGTTTGAAGCTTGGGTTTTGTCCACGGTCACCGACACTGCCAATGTTAGGTTAGGCAGGGGCCGAACCGTTGAAATTGGAGAGGCTTGCATGGGTCAGTTGAAAGCGCCGGCGGCTGTGTGCAGACATAAAGATGTCGGGTTTTGGAGTCTGCTTCACCGATGGGCATCAGACTTTGTCCGGTGGCGGGAGCGTCCGTCGAAAGCTCAGAGTGCTGCTGAGAAGGTTGTTTGTTGATATCGCCAATGCGGCCTGTAAGATGGCTCAGTACTGGCCGAGTGGCAAGGCCGTCACTGGCAGCGATGGCTTGTGTATCAACTCACGTTCGGTTCGGTCGAAGTCTTTTCTTTTTTGGGTCTCCAACACGTTTTGCTGCGCCTTGACACCTGCACCAAGTTTGTTTGCTCAAACGCTGTTGAGCAGCAACAGTTCCGCCTGCATGAAGCCCAGCTTGCCAGTCTTCAAGAAGAAAGAGACCGAGCCACGGCAGTGGGCGGAAGATGCTGTTAAGGACTCTGCTAGGCAGGCGCATGCTTTCCTCAAGCAAGGGGAGGGTCGTGTGCCAAGACCCTTTGCCCAAGATGCTCCTGAAAAGAGGCCCGAGCTGCGGAGACAGTACTGGGTGAAATTGTGGGGGCACCAGGAACCGCGACATGATTTCAGTCCAGTGAGACAAGAGTTGCTTAGGAAAGCAATTGAAGAGGCCGGCCAACAAAAACCCATCAGCAGTGACCAAATTCGACACACCTTGCAAGTGCTGCGGCAGTTGCCCGACGAAGGCGTAAGTGCACTCACGTTTCTGTACCATCGCATTGAGGCCACAGGAGTGTGGCCTCCCAGCTTGCAGCATGTGATGGTTGCTCTTCTTCCCAAAAAATGAAGAGTCTGAGCGCCCGATTGGCTTGCTCAGTGCTCTTTATCGGCTTTGGGGGAAAGTGCGGGCTCTCCTTGTGAAGCGGTGGTTGAAGAGTTAAACGTTGCTGACTGGGATCTTGCAGTTCCTGAAACCACCGTGTTTGATTGCGCTAGTCGTCGCCAGTTCCCTGCTGAGGTTCACACTTGGCTTGACGTTGCCCAGGTTAGCTTGCTGGTTGACTTGACGCATTTCTATGATCATGTGCAGTTGGACCAGCTTGCCGCCTTCGCGTTGCTGCATGGCTTTCCCGCAAGTGTCATGCATCACAGCCTCGTTTTTCATGAATCAATGAAGCTGTGCGGTTCCTGACTGCGGGAACCGTCACGAGTGAAGGCATCCGACCGAAGTGCGGCCTTGTTGCTGGTTGCCCTTTTCTGGTGTATCATGCTAAGTTGTATCTTCACGACCTCATGAGCGTGATGCGTAGAAGTGTCTATGTTGTGCCTAGGTCCTTGTCAACTTGGGTGGATGACATTTCCATTGACTGCCGTTTCCCTTGTGAGAAAACCCTGGTGTTGGAAGCTGTTGAAGTGTTTGAGAAGCTTGCCGACGGCATTGAAAAGTTGAACCTTTGTATCTCGAGAAAGAAAAGTGGGTTCCTTTGCAGCAACAGCTCGGTTGCGCAACAGCTTAGGAAAGCCGTGCAACATAAAAGCAATGCTCCCAAAGTGCATGACGCGATCAAGGATTTAGGTCTCGATGCGACTGCCGGGCGTTTGAGGAGAGTTGGCCATCAAAAGGTTCGCAGGCGTAAGGCGTTGGGTCGGCTTGGTAGGTTGAAGGTGTTCCGTGTTAGGGCTCGTGCGAAGCTTGTGGCCACCAACGTGCTGCCTGCCATGTTGTGGGGTGCACAGCAGCATGGCATTCCTTGCCGTCAATTAAGACAGCTGCGATCTCTGGTGCTTAAGGCAACGCGTATTGTCAAGTCAATTGGTAGCGTTGAGGTCGTCGCGTTGTGGCTTTTGAAAGAGCAACAAGACCCTTGGTATCTTGCTATAGGAAACAGTTGTTGCAGAATTGGTGCCGGTGGGTTCAGAAAGGGCTGCCAAAACTTGAGTCCGAACAGCTTGGGAGCGTTGCCTCAGGCATCTGCGGACTGTTAAGTACCCTTGGCAGCTTGCTAAAGGCCCCATGTCCGCTGTGATTGCGTTGTTGATGGAGTTGGATTGGAATCCGGTTGCTTGGGATGAGTGGATTACGCCTGACGGTATCACAGTCAAGATTGACTATCGCGACAACTTGCAGCCCGTGGCACTGTGGAAACTTGTTTCTGGTCATCTGAAGACAGATGAATACAAGTCCATCAGTCGTGCTGCCCAAACGGCTGAACTCGTGAATGGCATTGATTCCACGGTTAGTCCGGAGGTTGCATCGGAGTTGGCAGCGAAATCAACCTGAAAGGCTGCCTGCGCTTGAAGTTGTTGTGCAAGGTTCTTTCAGGTTTCTGGACCACACGCATTTTGCTGAAGAAAGCTGTCCTATGTGCCAATGTCCACATGGTGCGAGCGTTGAACATCACCGATTATGGGAGTGCCCATGGATGTTGTCTCAGCTGCAGTCGCCCGTGGAATCTGTTGAACTCGCACCAGTCCTCGCAACGCAGCTTTTGGCACCAGTTGTTGGTGCCAAGTGACTACACTTCCTTGCTGCCTGCTGATGAGGAACATGTTGAAGTTGACGGCATTTTCGAGACTCTGCTTGCAAGCGTTGACGGCTTACAGTTGTACACAGATGGGTCAGGAGGCCCGTTTACTAGTGATCCGCGCAAGCGGCGTTGCAGCTACTCGATTGTCGCCTTGCGCCTTTTTTGGATACATGGGTCTGTGTCGGTAGGTACACTGCTTCTCTTATTGGCTCTGAACAGACGGTTCCAAGAGCGGAAACCAGGGCAGTGCGTCAGGCCCTACAGCTGACCGTAGGAGATCTGGAGCTGGCCACTGATGCTGATTATCCGATCTGTGGACGGAAATTAGGGCCAAGAGCGCGGGAAGAACCGTTTCTGTGCGTAAGGTGAAGGCTCATCTTTCACAGGCGTTGTTTACCCACCTGTTTCCTGACGAGCCCGTCTGGTCTTGGATTGGAAATCGTGAGCCCAAACCCACGCTAACAAGCATACAGATTGGGACAGAGCTGCTGTCGTCGACTGGGTTGTCCGCCGTGTGGTTGAAGTTGCGGAGCACCTTGTCACTGCTGCTTTGCTGTGGATGCAGAAGCCTGATCCTTGCGCAGCCTTGGGTAAAGTGCATGGCCCTAAAGGGCCAACGAAACAGCAGTTTCTCGAGCACCTCACCGTTACTCACCCACAGCATGTTTGGCTAGTGAGACCAGGGGAGGCTTG